ATATATATATATATTAATATGAAACATTTTAAAAAAAATAAAGTAAGAACTTTATTGACTTCATGCTAGATTCTATACTACATGTAAATGTACTTTATTGCTTCACTTGATTTTAGATAAGAAAACTTCTTTCAAGGTAGTTTTTTATTGTAGATAAATAAATGTTTATTTATTTTAAATTTTAACAAAATTTTGACATATTTAAGAATTTAATTTAACTGGAATACACCGACATGATAAAAAAAATTTTATATTGTCATTCAATCATTAAATTTTATATAATAAAAAATTATCTAGTTTTGTAATAATTACTTTAATGAAAAATACTAGTAACATTTTTCTAACACTTGTATTTATTGGTTAAAATTTATTAAAAATTATAAATTTTTGGAGACTAAGATATATTCATTAAATGAGAATAAGATTGATTTACAACAATTTTGGTCGATAATAATTTTTTTTAGAAAGAGCATTAAAGAGAGTGTTGTCATTTTACTTACTTTAGAAATAATATATAGGATGATTTTAAATGAATAAAGATTAAACTTAATATCTCACATATATATAATTTTAATTTACTTGTTTTATAGATATGTACTTCTTTCAAAAGGGCTTTTATGCTGTTTCACTGCACTTAATTGGTACAATAATAATGGAAATGAGTTGATTGAGATTGATGTCCCTTGTATGAAAGTTATGGGCCAACCGAGTTTGATATGGAATTTTGACCATAGATGAAAGCAAAGGCCACAAATTGGAGCATCAAATGCTGATTTCTGTTCACTTTTCACTTTGTGTCCCTAAGCATCTAAGTTTTTCTTTTTATTCTTTTTTCTTATCTCTTTGGGGATCAAGTGTTTATTTTGCTTTATATTTTTTAGTGCATGTCCCTGTTTTGGTATTTCCTTTATTGGCACTTAACTTTGCCTTGTTTTTCTCTACATTAGTCGGGAGTTAATTCATTACTCAAGTAAAGATAATGCTGCTACTCAAATTTCAAATCACAATCTCTTTTTTGGAACCTCATGCCATTCTGTGGGGCAATCTGTTGGATTCTGTTGATCAACCAGAAGGAATTTGTGGTTTAGGAAAGGCTTTATATTTGTACTTTAGGCCTGAATGAATAACATTTTAATAAAAGGAAATAGATTCGTGCAAATTTATTAAAGGGACAGAGTCCTTGTAATTAGGCTCATAGTAATTATTGAACTCTTTAAATTGTTATGCTATTTGATAATTAAGAAGTACATGGTGAATTTCAATCTAAGAGTGTCTATAAAGGTTTTGAGTTCTTAATACATTTTTATGGGTCTCTTATTGTCATACAACATTTAAGACTTTTCTATATTTTGCTTTAATGAAAGAACTTAATTAGAGTTCTTAATTAACTTAAGTGGATTCCAAATTAAAATCCACTTAATTTCTTCCTTTTTTTACTATAAAAAATTGACTAACGAAAATTCTTATATAAGAATGATTTTTAAAACATGAATGTCACGTTAGACTATTTTAGTGATGAAATTTATAAGAACCATTTCATATATTTAAAAGTATGGTTAATAAATTTTATTAGAGATAGCATAATATTAGAAAATAGTTAGGATCAGCTCTTATCATAATAATGAGCTAGCAATGATCATCTAAAAAGAGTAAA